GTGGTCGTAAGTAATAACGAGATACGGATATCGTTATTACGGATAGACCATCACGTGTGGCATTTCTTATTTGTGAAGTAAGTAGTTGATCTCACGAGTTAAAGTGTGGTGACACTTAAATGAACACGTGGATATTTTGTTATAAAACAAAACATTGGAGACCCGCTAAGAGATTCCACATGGATAACTATCTGAGTGTCAGTGGTTAATCTCTAATGTTCGGTAGTGGAATTGGTCCTTTGACTTGAGGTCGTCATTGTACTTTATATGAGGACAGTCATACTTTGACGGTGTTGGATGTTGCTCTGAAAAGAGCCGCTAATACGACATCGTTAGGATACGTCAAGAATCGTATGAAGGTTGTGATTGATCAATAAAGGATTCGTCACTCTTAGATAGTAGGAGATTATGATCTGCGTTTCATTCAATTAAGTCGATGATGAAATCCTTGGCCAAGGTGTATTTATAAGTCTAAAAGGAGTTTTCGATTTATGTTGACTTGATAGTGGAGTGAAAGATATGATCGATGATTGAGATTGACACAATTCCATATCTCGTAATTAATCGGATCATATTGACGAAGGGATAATAGTTTCATGGTAAACGAAGGAATTTGATTTTGTCATACCACGTGACATTTCCCGTCACATGTATTGTCTTGACACATTGCTAGATGTCAATCAGGGACGGCGAGTGTGAATTGACGATAAATTAAAAGGGTGTTTTAATTTATCAATTTTAATTAGATCAAAATAATATTTCAAGGCGTTAGGCATCGTGATCGGTAACCTAATGGGTCGCACACATAAGAGAATTGGAAGATTGCAAATTGTCAATTGGTTAATTTAACAATCGTTGGATAAATTAATTAATTGAATTTGTTATTTATATTCCCGAATTAATTAATTGGATTAATTAATTCACGGACCGAATTTAATTAATTGGATTAATTAAATATTGGACCGGACCGGGCCGGGTCCGTTTGGGTTTATATATATACATAGCTAGGGTTTGAGGTCCATAAGATTTTCATTATTCTTGCTGGCACGAGAGAAAAATCCTAGCAGTTGCAGTCTATTCTCTGTGTGGATTTCATTGGAGGCTGGACAATTGGACAGTTGTAGGAGGCAGATTCAAGCTGCTGGAAAGGAATAACGCGAAGGAGTTTGCAAACTAAAAGAAAAGGTATATTTCTTATCACAGTTTTTATCTAAATACAATGTTGAATCCTGAATGGGAATTGAAATTTGTTAAATTTCGCTGTACATGTTTGAGTAAATTCCCAACCGAGGGGGGGGGGGGGGTTTGTTGGGGTTGTGGAAGAGGATGGAAGGAGCTCATCAACATACCTCATGCTGATGGAGGATGTAATTGTATGGACAATACCTATCTTGATGAAATATAGTCGCACGATAATGCCACACACCCAAGCGTTCCTTTTTCCTGAGACAAAAGGGTCAGATATACCATAATATTTACTCTCTAAGGCCACAAGTGAACAGGCAATTTCTTCACAGATGTTTGTAATTTATTTCTAACTTTTAGACTTCAGTAGCAATAAATTGATAAATAAGACACAAGCTGGACGAATGTCACAAAACACAATTTTTCTAAGCTTCATAGAACTCGAGGTTCCATCTTTTGAGTTCGATATCACGTACGGCTTCAAACAAAGTATATTTCCATGTGAATTCCTAAGCCACTAGTTTATAACTCGACCAGACAAAATTATCTGTGCTCTGCATTTAAATATAATGTTATTCACATTCCTTGTTGGTAACAAAAGTGTAATGCCACCATCTTACCTAGAATTTCCCGAACAGCATCTAAGTAGGAGGCATTTCTCACAGGACCATAGTCGGGATCAGGAGATTTGTAGCAATTCCAGAGACAAAATATAGAAGCAAGTGTGACTGATGCAAATGACAACATGGTCAATGGACCTGCAATCCACCCAAGCTGTGACATGCTCCATGCTAATGAAAGCACTCCAGAACCAATTACTGCTGTTATTATATGTGCCAAAGCCGTCCACACATTCCCTGATTTCTCAGATGTAGGAACACGCACATTAAATCATACAAACAACAAACTAAGACATGTACCCAATATATATCTACAATCAAATGAATCCCTTTTCTCGACTCCATTTGTTCTTCCCATATTGAATACCACAAACAACAAAACAGGACAAAATCTTATTTGAATGTTAAAACCCAAAATAAATGGAAAGTTGGCCAAGGCCACCTTGCTTGGCAAACCCGAATAGTGTTTCCTTATGTCAAAAGGAAAAAAATTGGTGTCCACCCCCCTTTAACATGATCTGAGAAATAAGAGAGGTTTTGGATATTTTGAAATTTGAAAAATCAGGTAATTTTAAATACAACACACTTTTACGGAATTGTATTTTATGAAGATGGCAACAATGAGATATTTGATTAGATTTCGACTTTTTTCAACAAATAAGCAACCCTAAATTAACACTCAAAGTTGTTATTCCCTAAATTGACAGAACATAAATAAATATATCATTTCCCATCTGATAGATAACATCTGTCAGCCAGTCGGTCTCAATTTGTAGATGATCAAAATAACTGCGACTTTATATTTCAAGAACCTACTATTTTTTTATATGTGTCCGTGACAATGTAATTACAGTTGAGGGTCACACACGAGGATTTGAAGATCACAGCACCGCAACGTATTGTCACATAAAGTATAAGTCCCATGATAGGAAACGCGGCTGTTATAAAAGTTATCAGTCACAGTTATGGGTCACATGTCACGCAACTTAGGTATTAATACATGTATTACACAATAGTGACAATGGAAGGTAGATGAGGTCAACGTAATAATTACTCAACACATCAAATTTGCATTAAATCTCAAATTGGAGGCAAATACGGTGATAAGAAGGCACTAATACTCAATTAATCAACAGTACGCAAGAAATCACGCATCAAAAGACATTTACAAAATGCAATGGTCGAAATGACTTGTTCCCAACACTAAAAATGTTATAACTAACTTCATAGCTTAAATCACATGTAAGGGAATATAGGAGGAATCAAGGCATGCACTAAAGTCGTACAAGAGCTATGTTAGTCACAATTTGTCAACGCTCAAAAGAATTGAGACCTTATTTTTCCATAACATGATACTACGATCTTATATGTCAATATGACACTTCCACTTCCCCAAACTGGTCGTTTCTTCTAATACTCCACGTTTTCTCTTATTACAATTAATGGCCAACAATTGTACAGATTCAATCAATTAAAATGCTCGATATTAATATTAGATGTGGATGTTATGAAATTATTTGGTGATGGACTATTAAGTGAAAATTATATCTACTGATATCTAACACAACATGTATGTACTTTGCACAACCACATCTCAAATGAAATGGCGAGATTGCTCTAACTTAAAAAATTTCCCTTTTCATCTTTTATGACAAATAATCAAATTGCAAGTTGACTTTCCATTAGTCATGACAGATTAGATTTTCAAAGGTGATGTTGCTTCAGCATTAAAATCGGGTCCTGATTGATAAAAATCTAAGCAAAGGTGGCTGAGGAATCAAGAAAGTACATTTAACCTGCACGTGAAATGCCTTTGATGAAAAAATAAATCCAATTTGCACATAAATAACACGTTGTTTGAAATTTGAAAACTACATTTATCTAAAAGTTTAAAAAAGGGAAGTGACAGCAAAATACGGTGCTTGTTTCCAAAATCAGACACCAGTTACAACCTAAATTTTCAAGTATATTGTGCATCAAATGCCGAATGCAAGGAAATAGGAAAAGTGTTACTAAATACACAAAGCTGGAAATTTTAACTTTACGTTTGGCAGTGCTTAAAAGTTAGGTTAGTTAAAAGGCTTATTCTAATAAAAGTAAGTTTGGTTAGTTTATAAATTTAACTATGAAAATCACATTTCATAAAACAAATTGCTTTTAGGTAAGTTTGACTTACTTTTAAGCTCAACCAACATGCTCTCAGTACTCACAAATTAAGGAAACAGGAATAAAATGGAATCACTATCAGAATAAGCTATAATCTTGACAGTCCTAAATATTCAATAGAATAAATAAAGGAAATTGATTGATAAAAGGAAAATAAAGGGCGTACCTTTTTTAAGGGAATGATTCCGTTCATCAGAAGAAAAACTTGTCTGCAATAATGGAGTCTGCGTATCATCTCCTCCGCTTATTGCCGACATACATACAGTTTTAGATCATATTTCTGGAAGACAATTGGAATTCGAACTTTATTTTGACAACCCTGCTTGCTGTACATGTAGGACCCTATCGACAGCTCACATGCGGGGTGGTTAAAATTTTGGCCATTACTTTATTCAGGTCCGTGGATCAGTAAGTTCTGTGAAGCACAAACCAGAATTATTCTTATTTCGAAGCCATTAATGTTGTTTTCTTCCACAAGAAAAGCTGAAAATGGCCACTAAAGTAAGGTTTAATGTTGTTTTTCTCCTCTTTTTTTTTTTTTTTTTTTTTTTTTTTTTTAAACAAAAACAA